ACTACAACAAAGATGAATATTACAAACATTAAAAGAAACAGTCACAAAAGACAACATATTGTATGATTTCATTTGTATGAAATGTCCAGAATAGGTAAATCTAAGAGACCAAAAAAAAAAGTAAATAGGTGGGGGCCGGGAAAGAATGGAGAGAAATGAGAAGTGTCTGTTACTAGGAAGAGGGTTTTTTGGGGTGTGTGTGTGAAAACGTTAGAAAGTTCACTTTCGTGATGGCTGCACAATTCTGTGATATACTAAAAATCATATAAACAGGCAAACTGTATGGTATGTGAATCACATCTGGATAAAGCTGTCATTTTAAAACAGAGGGCTTTAATATGCTTTCGTTAACCTATTTCACTTTTCAAATCCATTCATTTATTTTTTAACCTTCAAAAGGACACTAAAAGTTGGTGCAGCAGCTTGCACCTGTAATCCCAACACTTTGGGAGGCCAAGCCTGAAGAATTGCTTGAGCACAGAAGTTCAAGATCAGCCTAGGCAACCAACATACGGAAACCCCATCTCTACCAAAATAAAAAAAATTACCCAGGCGAGGTGGCACATGCCTGTTGTCCCAACTACTGGGGAGACTGAGGGAGGAGTATCACTTGAGACCAGGAGGTCAAGGTTGCAGTGAGCCATGATCAAGCCACTGCATTTCAGCCTGTCTTGAAAAGGAAAACTTAAAAGTGCAGTCTATCAGCCTAACTAAATCTTATGAGTACTATACATGTTTCATAAGAAAGAAAAGGGAAATATCGACACTAAAAGATCACAGGAGTGTCACAAATTCAGACATCTGAATGGTCAAAGTTAAGTGAAAAATGAATTAAAAAAAAAAAAACAGGTACAAACACATCTCAAGATTTTCATAAAACTGTAAGTGGGCCAAAAATATAACACAATCACATTTTGCTATGGAACTTTACACAATGCTAATATTCCACAACTCATACTTTAATAGTCTAGTTCAGCTTTGTGGTAATATGTTTAAAAATACTTTAAGAAAAACTTTTCTATCACACAGCAAATTGCTTTTGGGTATTTTTGAAGACATTTCAATGACAAGGGAAAATGTTCATGATGTAATACTACATGAAAAAACTAACTCATAAAGCTATGTAAATAATATTCTAATGATGTAAAATTATACATTAAGTATACTTTAAACAAAAATATATTAAAATTTCAACAAGGGTTATCTCTGGACTGTGGAATTACAAGGGACTTTTTTTCTTTTAAACCCTAGTTTACAAGTTTCCTACAGTAAGAATGCTGTCCTTTCATAATCAGAAAGCAAATTCTAAACAGTTTCATATTACCACATATATGATACATAATAATAGACATGAATCAACTGGTACATCCCAGTTTTTAAATACCTGGATCAAGACTGTAGTTGGGAACAGAGCCGGCACTATCTTACTCACCCTGCAGCAGTTTTCCACACTAACCTCCCCAACCCATTAGATTCTACTCATTCCACTTCACGTCCGCCAAAATAAACTTAGCACTTACAGTTTGAAGTTCCCCAGGTGATTTTGCTATACTCTCATTCTACCCCCTTAACTCCTTTGAGAACCACTCATCTAGAAGCTTTTACTGGATTTTCCAGGATACTCATACAACTAGCTTCAATTTAAATGATCAAAACAAGATGATAAGCCACAGAATGTGGTCAACAGGGTCACTACAGGGAATAAAGCAGAAATCTTTGGTTTTTAGTTCTAAGCAAAACTTAATCCAAGAAAATATATCAAAAGAATATGCACCATCCAAATAATACGATCGATATTTCTGTTTTACATTAAGTGTCAGACATGTATTAATATGTCCTAAAGGCTCTTTGAAAATATCAAGGTTGGGCAAGGTGGCTCATGCCTGTAATTCCAGCAATTTTGGAGGTCAAGGTGGGTGGATCACTTAAGGTCAAAGTTCAAGACCAGCCTGGCCAGCATGGTGAAACCCCATCTCTACTAAAAATAGAAAACTAGCCAGGTGTGGTGGCATGCAACTGTAGTCCCAGCTACTTGGGAGGCTGAGGCAGGAAAATCGCTTGGACCTGGGAGGCGGAGGCCGCAGTAATCCAAGATCACCCCAGGGCACTCCAGCCTGGGTGACAAGAGTGAAATTCCATCTCAAAAAAAAAAGTTATAACAATAATATGCTCACCTAAAAAAGAAAAACAAAAAGCAACTCATAAAATGTAGTCACCAAAAGTGTGTATAGCTGATTGGTGATTTAATATACTAAAAAAGAAAAAACAATCAGGAATATGTTGTGGGGCTACAGTCAGCATTAATGAGATCAGGCCCTGCTGAATGTTTTCCCTAAAGCAGAAGAAATTCCTGTCAAATTTTTACTTATACTTTCATTTGACACTAAAAAACAAAACACTAACCATAGTTATTCTTGATAGGCAGCTTTACAAAATACCATTAACTCGCATGTAACATTGAAAATCCAGGGGACAATTTTTTTTTAAAGATTAAAAATTATTATTTTACCTTCAAAGCTACTACAAATCAATAAAAATAATTATTTACTAGAAAATTCAAGTCTGCTTTGGACAAGTCTTTCTACAGGTCTAGATTTGAGAAGGAGGTGAAAAACCTAGAATATTTAAGAATCCCTGGGGGGGCACTGTCAAACTAAATATGCTTCCGTAGGATGTAGAAATAATGAAACTCTACTGATAGAATACTACTCTCTGTCTTATGATGAGCAAAGGACAGAGAGGAGGCTGAAAAAGCCTGAAAGTCACTTGTTTATACTGGGAGCTCCTTGAGTGAAGAGATTGTGTCTTATCTTTGGATTCCTGGTGCCTGGTAAGGAGGAGGTCAACATGTTAACGCCTGCTAAATTAAGAGAGAAATGTGTCTGGACTACAATTCTTACGCCCCCCAAAAATGGAAAAAAGATTGTATAAAACCAATTATTCAATTTGAATTCACAAAAACAAACGGAATCCCTTAAGCTATTTTTCCCAGTGTCTTTTTTTCCAGTAACCTTGCACAACTCACTCATGAAGTTTCTGAAATACCTATAATCATAAAAGGTGCATCTAACCTAAGAGGATACAAACATTTTAAAACAAGTCTGGTTTATGCCTATAAAATATATGGAAAATTAAATAAAATATAAAGAAGTTGAGATACAAACATACTTTTAAAATATTTAAATTTACAAGCAAAGTTTAAAACATACAAAAATGGGATGGGTGCCATGGCTCAAGAGGTCAGGAGTTCAAGACCAGCCTGGCCAAAATGGTGAAACCCTGTCTCTACAAAAATACAAAAAAATTTATCCGGGCATGATGGTGGGGTACCTGTAATCCCAGCTACTAGGGAGGCTGAGGTGGAAGAAGCGCTCGAAACTAGGAGGCAGAGGTTGCAGTGAGCCAACATCCTGCCACTGCACTCCAGCCTAGGCGACAAAGCCCTCCAGCCTGGGCCACAGAAGGAGACTCTGTCTCAAAAAAAAAAAAAAAAGTAGGCCTATCCTTCCCCAAATGTAAATAAGACATACACATTTTGAAATTAACTGCATTTCCCTCATAGAACAGTTAGAAAATACAAATTTTTTCAAAGCAAATTTCCTCAAAGAACCAGCAAGATGTTCACATCTGTTCACAAAGTCTTACGTAGTCAACACTGACTGCAGGCACCAGGGGGCCTCCCAGGAATAACTTGATAGTAAAGGAAGAGGTAAATAAGAGTTCCTGGTAAAACTTTTGCTTCAGTCTTAAGACTGCTGGATGGCCTTCACATCTGGAGCAAATATACCCTAGTTACACAACCAGTACTCAAAAAACTTGTGTTTTAGATACCAACACATTCGTTGAAAAAAAGGAAATACCCCTTCCCCATCACAATCTTCTTTGATGATTTTCCAATTATAAGTACATTTTGCTTCACTGTAGCAAACAATTATCTTCAGGTAATTTGAAAGCAAACAGTACATATGCAATCCTTGGACGGCAGCTAACAGAGGCCTCCAAATTGCTAAAAAAGGTTTAAAGGCTTTTCTACACACTCACAAATTAGTGATGACACAAATTTTAGGGTAGAGGACTGTTTGGCAGAAGACTGCATTTAACTTGGAATAACATCCTGCAATGAATCAATAACATTGAACTCCTGGCTAGTCTACCTCTTCATTTTCCCCCCTTACCTTCCCACCAGCATAGAACTATTCAATCAAAACACTAGGGCCCAGAAAGCTCAAATGCTGCGTAGACTTGCAGATACCTTTTGAACATAAGGCAGGCTTTAAAAATAGGTATTCACTAAGTTTGTGCAGAAATTAAGCTCTGCTCAAATCAAACGCAGAAGCCTTCAGCAAAGGCATCTCCATACTTCCCATGTCTTACGTGCATCTTCAACCTGATCACATATTTTGTCTTACAAATTTTTTTTTAGGCCAAGAAACAAATGGCGGAAAAAATTCCCGCTAATTTTATCCTCTCTTTAATAAGAATCCATTCTGTAGCATCACGTAAAAATGCAGAGCAGACGAAGCAGTCCTCATGACAGGTACATATATACACACACATAATTCACTCCCGAAACGACAAACGGAGGCAGCCAAGGGCAATGCACAAAGAGAACAGAGAAGAAACGGATTCCATCGACACAAAGCCCGGCGGCAGGCATCCTCTCTGCCACCTCGGAGGGGTCACCGGAGGCGAGAACGACGGCGCGCGGAGCCCGGCGGCCTTTCCGAAAGGCTCTTCCGTAGACCCGCTCCGCACAGCCTCCAGCCAGCGCACCTGGCCCCCAAGGGTACGCGGGGACGGCCCCCTCTCCCCCGATCGCACTCCCGGGGGCCGCTCCCCAGCGTCCAGCAGCCTCCTCGCCCCGCCAGCCGCGCCGCGCTCCCAGAGACTCGTCTCGGGGCGGGAAAGGGGTCCCGTCGCGTTTCGGCGGCGGAGGGGGACGCTAGGGGTCGGCGGCGACGCCCAGCCTCCCTCTGTGTCGCGGCCCGGCGCGCACTCACCCTCCAGCAGCCGGGTGATGAGGCTGTCCACGTTCAACTCCCCGTCCGCCATCTTGTCGGCACAGACTCTCCTTCCCGGCAGCGGGAACAAGGGCTTCTCGGCGGCGGAGGCTTCGGCGACGGCTCGGCGTTCTCTCACCTACAAGTCACGCGGCGTTTCGACCCCGGCTCCAACTCCCCCTTTTCCCGGGCCCTCCCCCCACCCCCTCCCCGCCGGGTAGCAAGAGCGCGCGCACAGTCGGAGGCACCCACGGAAAATAAATAAATAAACAAGAGGGGCCCCCACGAACAGGGCCGCGTCAGACCCAGGCCGCCACCTCCTCCTCGGCACCGCCCAACTCCGCAAAGCTCACCAGCGCCGCCGACGGCCCCACCCGCAGCGCCACTCACTCCGCACGGCCCTTGCCCGCCGCCGCGCAACGCAGTTCTCTGCGCAAGCGCGCGGCGCGCTCCTCGCCGAGGTTTGCCTCGACGCCCGGGCCGCCGCGCAGTCGCACTGGAGCGGCTTCTCCCGTCGCCGTCTTCGCGCAGGTGCGTCGCCCTCTCTCTCCATGTCCACGGCGCCAAGTCTCGCCGCGGCGGCGCAGGCGCCCGGGAGGTTCCCCGGCTTTGCAGCGCTAAGGAAACCCGGGTTACGCTGGGCGCGCTGGGGCAGGGCTGACCTTCCCATTTCTCTGCTCCACCGGCCCTGGTTTCTCCGCAGACTTGGTGGTTGCGCCCTTTCGGCCTCGCTTTTCTTTTCTTGGCTTCATCCCCTGCACCTGCAAGCAGTTCCTCGTGTTTCTTTCGTTAGCCGAGAAACGCGAACTGCAGCGTTTAGAACCCGGCTTTGCGCGTGTGGAAAGCAATAAAGGGTTACTCTGCTGGAGTTCGACATTGCAAATAAAGATCTTTATCCCCTGCGGTTCCACAAAGCTAGTTCCGCAGGCATTCTGGTTGAAGGAAGAGTTAAAGTGGGCCCTGGAGGAGTCAGCAATAATACAGTATTCATGGGTGCAGATGACTGCCTGTGTCTAGCGCTTTCTCTTATCTTAAATCTCCATCCACACCGTGGGTTTTTTTTTTTCCACGGTGTGTTTCTGTTCCTGTCTCCAGTATATTGCTTAATCGTCATCCTACCTGGTAATTATTTTTCCTTTTTTCTCCCACTCTCGACTCAGCTCCTAGGTGATAAAAACACACTAACTTACCTTTATGCCCACTGCACCCACCAAGTGTTTCCATCCCATAATACCGCCTCTAGAAAGGCAGGAGGAGAAGCAGTCAGGCTAAGGATCTAGGCAAGCCTAATCTTTTGTCCTGTTTTAGGAGGTGGCCAGCCCTTACTCATTCCACAGGTGTTTTTTTCCAGACCTGATGTTGCCCCAAGCCCGAAGCAGTGCCTCCCCAACTCATGTATCGCTTATAGTAGCTGACATTTGTTCAGATCCCTGGATGGGCTCTGGCACGGTTGTGTGTGTGTGTGTGTGTGTGTGGTTTTCACTCACGTTGTTTCACTCTTGTTGCCCAGATTGCGGTGCAGTGGCGCAATTTCGGCTCGCTGCAACCTCTGCCTCCTGGGTTCAAGCTATTCTCCTGCCTCAGCCTCCCTAGTAGCTGGGATTACAGGCGCCCGCCACCACGCCCAGCTAATTTTTTGTATTTTTAGTAGAGCCAGGGTTTCAGCATGTTGGCCAGGGTGGTCTTGAACCCCTGACCTCAGGTAATCCACCTCCCAAACTGCTGGGATTATAGGCGCACTGTTTTAAATATTACACCCGTGTTACTTCGTTTAACCCTTAGACAGCCCTGTGAGGTAGGTGCTATTCATATCTCTACTTTGTAGATGGGATTCATTGAGGCACAGATGGTTAAAAACCTAGCCCAAATCACACAAATAAGCAGCAGAGCTGGGATTCAAACGCAGGCATGTAGTACGAGAGTCTACATTCTTAACAATTGCGATATTCTCCCTCTCCCTAAATGTGGGCTGAGTTGCTGAAACACGCACGTGCTCTGGGGGAGAAGAAGCTTTGTCCAACCTAGTGCTTTCTAATATCCAGATGACCTAGAGCTAGGATTTCTAAGGCCTTTTTTTCAACCTTAGTTTTCTCTCCATTTCGAGACTGAGTGTACAATGATGGTGAACACAACAGGCAGCAAGCTGCAATGGTGGTCCTGGCTGGAGGAGTTTTCACAGACTCTGCAGTCATCTGTGGAGGTGAACTGGCAGCTCTGTAGTTTTCACAGATCACTGCTAGCTCATTTCCAGGCTTATAGGAGTGAAGACCTGGCTCATTATCACTCTTTGTTGTTTTGTTAAATTTATTTACACCCTACTTCATTCCAGAGGAAAGGATTTAACGTAGTTTACATAAATGCATACAGCAGGGTAAATTAAAAATAAGTACAGAGAAAAATAGTACAAAAGAAAACTGTGAGTGGGAAAGATAAGATGAAGCCAGCAGTTTTGTATGCAAAATTCATAGTGTAAGGTCCTATTGGTTTGCTGGAGATAGGCCACATATATGACTCTCAGTTTTCTAGCAACCAAGGAGAAGATCAGTTACAAGTAGAGTAGGTGTTTTGGCTAAGCTGGAACTAGGACTTGAATATAGCAGCTTGTGGAGTTAAATGCCACTTGCCCACATCTCTTCCATGAGCCTCAAGTGTAACAGAATGCCTAGGAGCACAAAAATAGGTGCCTACTTAGCCTCTAGTTTTCATAGGGACCATGAATCCCATGAAAAACAGCTTCGAAGGCTGGGCACTGTGGCTCACTCCTGTAATACCAGCACTTTGGGAGGCCGAGGCAGGTGGATCATGAGCTCAGGAGCTGAAGACCAGCCTGGCCAAGATGGTGAAACCTCATCTCTACTAAAAATACAGAAATTAGTTGGGTGTAGTGGCAGGTGCTTATATTCCCAGCTACCTGGGAGGCTGAAGTAGGGAGAATAGCTTGAACCTACTGCACTCCAGCCTGGATGACAGAGTGAGACTCCATCTCAATCAATCAATCCATCAATCAATAAAAGAACTTTGAACCCTGTCCACAATTAGGGTTTAAGTATATGCAGACATGTTTAAAGGACAAGGAACACTCAAAGGAAATGATTGCACAGAGAGAAAGTGAGCATCTGAGAGAAAATCACCATCACCGCAAGTGAGCAGAGGGAGGCTGGTCTCAGCAGAGTTTTGAGTACTTGACTGCCGATGTTACTTTCTCCACCCCCACCGGGTTTTCCAGTGCCTTCAGTCCTGGGCAAGAATGGGCCACTGTAAAAATGAAAGAGCTTTATCACTAGGGGCCCAGCCAACTTTTCTGTGGGATCTCCCTCCAAAATAATTAAGAGTTCAGAATGCTTCAGATTTTGAAGTGAAACTGGTACATATATTAAATGTTACTTAATAACCCAACAGTTTCTGGGGCAGCTCACCATAATCCCAAACATTAGCCACCACCCTTAACCCCTTCAGAGTAAAATGTATTTATTGAAAGAAGTTGGGAAAATGAAGGAAAAAAATATAAAAATCACCTATAATCTTACCATAGATGGCAGTTTCCCTGTCTTATTTCTGAACCTGAATAAAGGTTGTTAAACATTTACCAGCACACCATTAGGCTTAGGGAGACATCTTAATTATCATGCATGTTAATATTCTTGGGTAATTCCAGAAATGTCTATGAAGGGAAACTTCGGTTCTTTATCTGGACTTCCTGATTGCAGGGTGTTTGGGCACCATGATTTAGGGGTCTTAATAAAATTATTGTTTTATTTTTACTAATAGGTAATGTCTGCCTATTAGATAAAGGCAGAGTAGTGCTCAGAGGAACCCAACCATCTCTGTATTGAGACCAGAGAGCTGTCTCTATGGATTATCCTCAGAGCAGGCATTTTGGAACACAGTAAACAGCAGCCTCGTGACTCGTTAGTAAACACAATAAAGACTTTCATAGGGATGTTTTTCTTTTCTTTCTTTTCTTTTTTTTTTTTTTTTTTTCTGAGATGGGGTTTCACTCCTGTGGCCCAAGCTGGAGTGCAGTGGTGCGATCTTGGCTCACCATAACCTCCACCTTCCGGGTTCAAGCAATTGTCCTGTCTCAGCATCCCAAGTGGCTGAGACTATAGGAATGCGCCACCACGCCCGGTTAATTTATTGCCTTTTTAGCAGAAACAGGGTTTCACCATGTTGATCAGGCTGGTCTCAAACTCCTGACCTCAGATGATCCGCCTGCCTTGGCCTCTTGAAGTGCTGGGGTTACAGGCATGAGCCACAGCGCCTGGCTGGCTCTCAGTATTAGCCAGTAGCCAATCTGGTATGAAAGTGAGTAGGTTAGGTAGCAAAATGTGGAGGTTGTGTTATATAGTTCTTTGCTGCTCTGGCTTAATCCAAGATGACTTTTAAATGAATGAATCAACATTCATTGGGCTGTCTTTCCATAAATATGATTCTTCTCAATCAAGTGTTTAATAAAGTCTTAAGTAGCAGTAAGTTTAAATTTTACTAGTTGTATCTGGAGGGCAGCCATTCTTTATGTCACATGTCTTAAGCTTTTATAGTCAGCTTAATTCAAGAAAATTGAAAAACCAGACAAAGATATATATGCATCTGTAGGAGGCTACCCCTCTCAATACAGAGCCAGGCCTAGGTGGTACAGCCAGGCAAGGCCAAGATTTGATCTTAAGATTTACTTTTGGTTTCATCTCAGTACACATATGAGAGTAATCCAGATGCCAGAGTTATTGGTCAAGCCATAAGGCACATCCTCAGCCATTTTAGGCCCACCAAATTATAAAGCAAATATAAATAAATGCTGTCTTCCCTGCCCGTGGTCAGTAACCTCCCCCTGCTGCCCCAGCACACAGTCTCTCTCTCTTTTCTCCCTCTGTTTGTCTTAAACTAACTCTAGTATATCCCTATCCTTCAAGATAAACTGATTGAAAAACAAATGTATAGTAATTGAAGGAGTTAATTGCCTATTTAGAACTATTAACTATAAGGCAATTAAAGCTAGATGAACAGCTGTCACAAGTAATGACTATTGAATTGTTGAAGAGTTGATCTGTGGCCTTTCTTTTTTTCTCTTAATTAGATTACAGGGCCAGTTGTCTATCTAGGGCAAGCAGCCCTAGTTTGTTACAATAAAACCGTGTCATCTACACAGGTAAGAATGTTTCTCTTTCATTGCTTTCCCCCTCCAACACACCATCCTGCTCATTGAAACAGATACCAGGAAATAACTGTTTGGTGAAAAGTAAACTATACGTGAATGTTTCAAATAAAACAAGGTACTGTAAATCTTTTGTTTCTTGTTGCTCTGTTCTTCCTATAGTATATCCAAATCACATTTAATTCACCTTTTCAGTTGGAGGTTTACTTCTAAATGGCTTAATTTTTTTTTTTTTTTTTTCCTTTTTGAGACAGTCTCACTCTGTCACCCCGGCTGGAATACAGTGGCTCATTAACAGCTAACTGTAGCTTCAACCTCTCAGGCTCAAGCAATCCTTCTGCCTCAGCCTCCCAAGTAGTAGCTGAGACCATAGGCACTTGCCACCACGCCCAGCTAGTTTTCTTATTTTTTAGTAGAGACAAAGTCTCACTGTGTTGCCCAGGCTGGTCTTGAACTCCCGGGCTCAAGAAATCCTCCCATCTCAGCCTCCCAAAGTGCTAGGATTACAGGTGTGAGCCACTGTACCTGGCCCTAAAAGGATTTTATAAGTCTCTGTTTCAATTGGTTTTGGTAGATAAGACAAGGAAAGCATTAATTTTTTATGTAGTTATAAAATGAGTAGCTTCTCATAATATGTGAGACCACATTACAATTAATAACATATGCCTGCTAAAACTAAAGCCAAACTGTTTGTGAGCTGTGAAAAATGTTTGTCAGAGTTACATCCAACACCAATAGGTCTTTTATATAGGAAACACCGGTTAAATAGAAGATTTATTAACTATTATTTTAATCTTGATTTCAACCAGATCCAGTCTATCATAATAAATTCTTAATTGA